ATGCACAGAATGATCTCTAGAATGTATCGTAATTAAGACTCGTCCCTACGAAGCAGCATGCAACACGCGTCACGTATCACGTTGCACGCGTCACGAACGGTGGGTCTTTTCTCTCTTTCTCCTCGACGATAACGTTGGGGTGCCCGGTTTTGATAACATTTTGAAAACGACATGTACAAGCAAAGAAGATAAGTAGAAAGTAGAACGATCTTAATCCAGTCTTAATCTTCGCAACCGTTACAGCGTCCTATAACCGTTTCAGCAATCGCATCTTCGATAAGAGAGCATCTCATTGAGCCACATTGAAAACAAGATCAACGTTCACTCCAGCTAAGTTCCGGAGCGGAAAGGAAGCAAAAAGAAGCGAAAAAAAAAATCCGTAGAAAATACAAAAAGCGGAAGGTGCGATCGTGGCAACACGTATTTTCGATCTGCTCCGATCCGCGCGGATTCCGGTACGAATTCGATCACGTGCTCGTGATCTTTGGGGCTCAACTTGACGTCGCTCCAACCGATCGCCACACGCGTTCTCAGACGGACAGGTGTCCGCGGGACGGGGCGCAATTACATAAAGCGAGGAAAGGAACGCCAGCGCGCGGGAGGGAGGGACCAGAAAAGAGAGAGAAAGAGAGAGAGGAAGGGGAAGGAGAGAGGGAGGGAGGGAAGAGAGAGATGGAAAGAGAAAAGGAGGAGAAAGAAACACGCATGCGGGGTATGGTAGGCGAGCGGCCACCGCACGAACGTGAATGCATTCTTACGAATGCATTCACCCGTGCGCGGTGCGCGAGCGATGCCGCGATCGCGTATGACGCGCGATCATTAGGTCCATTCGTCTTTGGAACGGCGCTCTCCTGCACTTTCTACTAGAGATCCTGATATGTACATTCGATTTAGATGCTTCCAGTGCTTTCAGCACGCCCAGTAAACGAGAATGGATTAAAATTTTTTTCTAATGCGTATTTTAAATGCGTAGCGAATACCTTTTTTTGGATTTAGTTGGATTCAGTTGGATTCAATTAGAAGTTGGACTCAATTGGATGCAACTGGATTGAAAAACTGCATTTCATTCACATATTCAAAATTTTGAATTGAACAGTATTCACAATGCACAGAAAAAGCTAATATTATTTTTAGATTGAAAGGCATAGAGATATACTCTATGCAATTATAAATGAATAAAAATGCATTCAGGATTGAAAAGTATTCATTTTAATATTCGTGAATCAATATTTCTGAAAATCTGAATCCATTTCAATTCATTTCAATCCATTCTCGTGGCAAATTCCATTTGCTGGGCGTCTATCCTTACTCAAGCAAAACGAGTAACGATAACGTCAAAATAACATTAAAATGAATCGAAAATAATTGAAAAATAACTTTTAACGATCATTTTGGAGTCATTTTGACATCATTTTGACATCATTTTGATATCATAATGACTTATTCTGCTTAAGTTTTTTTATTCTCGCACACTCTGGACGATAAATTGAAGTGAAACAAATATATTATATTTGTTTCACTTCAACTAATTGCATCGTTCAGAAAGTGCACAAATAAGAACAGATCTCTTATTTTATATTTAATAAATAAGAAAAATGATGAATGAATGATTCAAAAGAAAAATGATGATTAAAGCATGAATGAACCTCTATAATGAGTCTGGCCAAGAGTAATTTTGGTCAAAAGAAGAATGGGAATGAAGAGTATTATATTGTCTCATTTTATATATACATGCTTATTCTAGGACTTTTGCATAACGTATGAGAAAATCAGAACCAATCAGAGTTCTTTATTGTATTGTAAAGAAAGGAAATGCAAGAATCTGATTAGTTTTCATACGTTATACAAGACTACTCTGTGTTTCCTAATTTATCAAAGTTATAAACAACGACTAATCAAATATTTGACATCTTATGACCAGACTGTTATAGAGTCTCTACTTTCTACATACAAAGCAGAGAAAAAGAGGACAGCGAACCATACAAACGGATTTGACCATCCTAAGGAGAACAAAAAAAAAACAAAATAATGTCAATTCAACGTCGTATTGATCGAATTTGTTTTTTTTGTCATGATTTAATCAATATGACACTATTTTAACTTTCTTGTTCTTTGTAGTACACACGTGTGTATATTCTAGCCGTTTTCTCCCCGCAGTGCTTTTGCATACGAGGTGAAATAGATGCAGGTGAGACAGGCAGGGAAGAGAGAGAAAGAGAAAAAAAGAGAGAGAGAGAGAGAGAGAGAGAGAGAGAAAGAGTAGAACGTATTTTTCGCGCGAGTTCATGCTCCCCTGCCACGTAAATATTGCTACGCCGGGGAGGTTGCGGCGACTCCCTCATCGTTTTCTCTCTCGCTCTCCTTTCATCTCTCTTTCTCCCATGATACTCCCGCATCGACGTGGCTAGGCACATGCATCCGTGCGGTGCAACAATGGCACGCGACATCGCGACTCTCCCTTCCCTACCTGTATTCGAGATCTGCTCCGATCTGCTCGATCGCGCATGTTAACGTTACCAAGCCACAAAGTGATGCGTCCGTTGGAACGACACGGAAAATATCGAGAAATAGCTTTTATATTTATTGCAGAAAAGAAGATAGAGAGAGAGAGAGGGAGGGGGGAGATGAAGCGTGAGGCAAATTAGTAAAAGAAAAGGAGAGAGAGGAAAAGATATACACATGAGTGCATTTATGCACAAAAGCACGCGCGCGCGCGCGTGTGTATGTGTGTGTGTGTGTGTGTGTGTGTGTGTGTGTGTGTGTGTGTGTATATGTATGTATGCATGTTGCTTGGCGAACTTTTTTTCTTCCGTTAACTCCGTTTTCTCTCCTGATAAAGGCGGTGGCAGCGACACGACAACACGGGGGATTACTCACGCTGCGTTTCCTGCACGATGACGCGTTCGGTAGCACGCGTAACCGTCATGGTTCCAGGCGGTGGTGTGGCCAAGTGATATCCGTGTCGGAGTGGCCGTATCGGGGCACTGAATCACTCGTCTCGGACCGCGGAAACGATCATCGCACCGTCACGTTGGGATGTCGAGACGATAGCGCACTCGCTCCGTGAAGCGTACAGAGAGAGAGAGAGAGGGAGAACGTTACGTTCACACTCGCGCAGCATCGACAACTCGAGACTACGCTACATCACCCAGCGCACCGCACCGCCGTTCGCCGTGTCTCGTACCGTACGTACTGTACGTGCGTACGAGACATTTAACCGACCGCCGTATTATACGTTGTCGTCGTCATCGCCGCCGCCGCCGCTGCAGTCACATCTGCGCTTGCGTCACGCGCGCGCCCCAAGTGGCGAGTCACATGACCGACGCGATAGCGGGAAATTCGAAAGAAGCTCCGGGCTGATGTTCATAATCGATTCTTTTTTTAATAGTGCGAGGTAATAATTTCGAATTAATACGTTAACACATAATACGTTTCGGTTAAGATTTGACACCCTCATCAGTCAGAAAATTGGTTACAGTTAAATTAACAATGGAAGTCTTCTATGTATGTCTTTGCTTTGAGTTACAATCTTGTTTAAATTCATATTTATTATATAATAATTTCGTCTTGGTATATAATTGTTGAAATATAAAATTAATAGATCGTTGTCTGGCCACCCAGCAAACGAGAATGGATTAAAATGAATTGAAATAGATTCAGATTTTCAGAAATATTGATTCATGAATGTTAAAATGAATGCTTTTCAATTCTAAATGCATTTTTATTCATTTATATGAATTGCATGGAGCATATCTCTATGCTTTTCAATCTAAAAATAATATTAGCTTTTTCTGTGGACAACACACACATTGTGAATACTGTTCAATTCAAAATTTTGAATAGAATGCAGTTTTTCAATCCAATTGCATCCAATTGAATACAATTAAATCTAAAAAAAGTATTCGCTATTTAAAATACGCATTCAGATAGAAAAAAATTTCAATCCATTTTAATCCATTCTCATTTGCTGGGAAACACAGGATTTCCCGATTCTGTTCTTTCTTTTTGAAATAAAGATCCTCACAATTTTTATATGAAGTCCAATTCTTTCTAAGTTAAATAAAGATATGATGATAAAAAAATTCTTTTGAGAGAAACTGAGATATCTTTAATTCTTTTATTATCATATCTTTATTTAACTTACACAAAAAATTGGACTTTATACAAAAATTGTGAGGATCTTTTTTTCAAAAATCTAAGAAAATCCTAGGTTTTTGAAAAAAGGTTGGCCAAACAACAGTTTATTAATTTTATATTTCAATAATTATATATCAAGACGAAATTATTATATGATAATCAAATATGAATGTGCAGTAAATAAGATTGTAATATCAAAGCAGTGATATACGTAGAAGACTTCCATTGTTAATTTAATTGTAACACCAACGTTCTGTACTGATGATGATCAAATTTTGATCGAAATGTAAACAAATATTATGTGTTAACGTATTAATTCGAAATATATTACTTTATCTCTAAAAAACATCTTTAGCTGTGGCTGTATGCTCCTTTATTGTATATTTATATATATATATATATA